GCTAGGGTGACCTGTGACTTAGCTCCAATCAAATTATTGCCATATGGGAAAATCAACTTGGTAGTGGTCTTTTAATTTTTTCAAAAGAAGACCCAAATCCGGATTTTCATGGGTAAAGTATAAAGTACTTTGGGCTATAAAGTATTGGTAACTAATTCAACAGTAAACAACATCATCAAAAACAACTGTGTGAGCAAAACAAAACACATCTGTAAACCAGACTCCACTGTGGGCTGCTAGTTTGCAATCCTTGTCATGGATAATTTCATCCACACCCTTCAATTAACACCTAAAAATGTGTGTCTTCAGTTCAGTCCTCTAGATTCTGGGCTCTGTATTCCAATAGCTAAATTCAATTTTAAAGTGATACCTCTACTTTAAAATCTCACTAGCCCCAAAGCGAACTAAGATTTAAACCCACCTCAAAACTATTTATACTTTGTGTTCTCAATCTTGGGCAACAATTCCACAATTCACTAGGCTGGGACAAGCCAGACCCTGGGACTCAACCTACGCACCTATTTCTGCCTCTCTCTCACCTCTTATCAATTTATCAATTCTGCCCAGTTTGCCTCCTAAATAATTCTCCAGTTTCTATCTCTCCATTTTCGTGGCCAGCATCGTGGTCCCAGCTTAATTACTATAAATCATGTCCCCCACAACCACTCTTGATTCCTTATTCTCTCCAATATGGCCAGGATTACCCTTTACAAATAGAATATTTACAAATACATATACATATTGAAAGGGTATGTCTTGGACCCTACTATTCCAATACTAGACATTTATCCTGCAAATACAAAAACCAAACCCACTGTACGCAAAACCAATAACCTTTGGAATGTGTACGGAAACTAGCAGATGGGGAATGGAGTAGCGCCCACCTCTGAGATTCCCAAATGATACGATGGTGGTGTTTTAAGGAGCCCTGGTAGCACAGTGGTTATGAGTTGAGTTGTTAACCCCATGGTCAGCAGGTCAGAACCACCAACTACTCCAAGGGAGAAAGATGAGACTTTCTTCTCTCATTAAGATTTAGTCTTGAAAACCCACAGGGACAATTCTACCCTTGTCCCACAGGGTTACTATGAATCAGAATTGACTCGATGGAAGTGAGTTTGGTTTTGGTTGGTGGTGCTATGGGTTGGGCATTGGGCTGCTAACCTCAAGGTTGGTGGTTCAAACCAACCAGCTACTCTGCAGGAGAAAGATGAAGCTCTCTGCTCTGGTGGATACTTAGTGCCTCAGAAACCCTAGGCAACAGTTTTGCTCTGCCCCAAAAGGGTTGCTCCGGGTGATGTGATGGATACTATTTTAAGTTCCTTCATGATTCTCCCTCTGGCCTCTGCCAACTGCTCCCACTTTATCTGCATCATCCTGCCCCATCACGCTCCATGCTCTAGCCACATTTGTCTCTGGGATTCCAGAAGTCTCAGTCCCTTCTACATCAGGACCTTCACATCTCTTCCTTCTGCATAGGGCACTGTCCCCCTCAAAGCTTCATCTAGTCATTCCTGGTAACCCTGTAGAGTCTACCTTCAGGCCAATTTCCCAAGGAAACATTCCCTAGTTCTGTAACTAAGCCAGGTACCAGAGCGGCCTGTAGTTCTTCCAGAACTTATATAAGGGTAAAGAAATATTGTATAATTATACACTTAACCCATACAGTACCTTCTTTAGACTGTAAGTTCCAGAAGTGTAGAGACCATATCAGTTGCTTTTGCCATTATATTTATTGCTAGTGTATGCCAGCTCTAAACCGGTGTCCGGCTAACACACCAAACCAACAAGCATACAAAACAAATAGCAAAGCAGGCCCTCAAATATTTGCTAAATAAACGAATGACGGCTCCAGCCCTCAAGTTTAGCACAGGAGAGAAAATCAACACATGCGCAAATAAGGATAACGCAGCGTCACTGACAAAGAGCAAACAAATCTTTCTCGGAAAGCGTACAGCCAGAATACTCCTTGGAAACAAGAATGGCGAGACTTTGCCGTGCGAACTTTGGACATGTTATCCGGAGAGATTAGTCCCTGGCAAAGGACATCATGCTTGGTAAAGTAGAGAGGTAGCGAAAAGAGGAAAATACTGGGCATGATGGAGTGACACAATGGCAGCAACAATAGGCTGGAACAGTTGCGAGGATGGCACAGGACCAGGAAATGACTGTCTCATTCTGTATGAGTTGAAACTAACTCAATGGCACCTCACTACAATAAACAAGTGTCAATGATATCAAAGGAGTTTATTCATTCAGAAGATAAGTTCTGGAAATGTTTTTGCAGACATTTTTAATGAGCCCTGGTGATGTAGTGGGTTACATGACCACAAGGTCAGCAGTTTGAACCCACTAGCTGCTTGGTGGGAGAAAGATCAGGCTTTCTGCTCCCCAAAAGATTTACAATCTCCAAAACCGACAAAGGCAATCTACTTTGTCCTACCATAGCATGACAACATAGCAAGAATTGACACCAAATCATGTATCCGACTGGTATCGTGGCAATGAGTCTGTTTTTTTGGTTTGTAGGACATTTTGATAGTCACGACTTGCGGGGGGGAGAGGGGGTGCTGTTGCCATGGACATCCAGTGAGTAAAGGGTAAGAATGTTACCAAATAAAATCTAATGCTCAAGTCACCCCCCATTCCTCAACAAAGAATTTTCTGGTCAAAACGTCCATAGTACCATGGTTGAGAAACCCTGAAGTTCACCTAGGAGCTCTGGTGGGCGAGAGGTTAAAACACTTGGCTGTTAACTGAAAAGTCAACAGCTGGAAGCCACCAGCCATTCCTCCACAGAAAGAAGTGGCAGTCTGCTCCTGTAAGGATCACAGCCTGAGAAACTCCATGGGCAGTTCCATTCTGTCCTTTCAGGTGGCTATTTGTTAGAATAGATTTAATAGTGCCAAGTTTGGGATCGGTTTAATTATCACCTTACTTATTCAATCTGTGTGCTGACCAAAGAATCTGAGACGCTAGATTATATGAAGAATAATGCAAAATCAGAATTGGGGAAAGGCTCACTGACAACCCGTGATATATAGATGACAAAACCTAGTTTGTTGAAAATGAAGACTACTTTGAGCACTTACGGATGAAGGGGAAAGACCAACAACTTCAATAGGGATTACACCTAATATAAATAAAAGCAAAAATCCTCACAACTGGACCAATAAATAACAGCATGGTAAACAAAGAAAAGAAATTGTCAATGATTTCATTTTACTTGGATAAACAACCAATTCCCATGCAAGCAGCAGTCAAGCAATTGTACTGGGGAAAATCAACAACAAAAGATCTTTTGAAAGTTCCCAAAAGAAGTCACTTTGATGACTAAAGCAAAATTGGCCCCAAGCCATTGCTTTCCAGTGGTGTCATATGCATGTGAAAGTCAGACAGTGAAAAAGGAAGGCAGAAGAACTGACACCTTTGAATTGTCGCATTGGGGAAGAATATTTAATATATGGTGAACTTCCAGAAGAACAAGCAAATCACTCTCAGTAGAAATCCAACCAGAGTGACATTGGACTTGTCAACAGGAAAGATCAAGTGCTAGAAAAGGGCATTATTTGGGGTAGAAGGTGAGCAAAAAAACAACCCTGGATGAGATGGATAGACACAAGAGCTGCAACAATGCACTCAAACCTATCAAAGATTATGGAAAGGGCCCAGGACCTGGTAATGTTTGGTTCTGTTGGACATCAGGTCGCTGTGGGTTGGAGCTGACTAAAGAGCAACGAATACAGGTGATCAACTCAAGAAAATCTTCAGAGACAAAATACAGTCTTAGCTAATGGTAGCTGAGGCCAGATCAGTGGGGGCCATGACTGTCAGTGGTCCCACTTGAAGAGTTAAAAGCATACTTTTGGTTTGTGAAGTGCCTTCTTCAGGTACCCTACACCCCCAAATTACTTATCTCTTTATTCCTTCATTGCTGAAACAAAACTTCTATTCTCTCAGGCGGCTGACTCCAGCTAAACATGAGGGCCAAATTAATTGAGATCAAAATAATGTCAGATAGTCCCATCACTCCCCAGAATGTTAAACTGGCCTTTTAAGTATGTAAACACTTATGAATCCAAATATATATTAATTTAAATATATGTTAGTGCATAAAGCTAGATGCTTGAATCCAAAGGTCTTCGGATTGGCCCAGGGAGACGTCTCCAAAGCTTTGCATTAAAAAGAAATAGCTTGTTACCTGTCTCCCATGTCCTCATTTCTGAGTTTCTACATGGTATAAGATTCAAGTGCCACCACCAGCCCTCACCTCCCACGCACACACAAACGTGAATGTTATAAAGGCTTCTGCCAGAGAGACGAGGAGAGCCATTTGGATGCAGTAAATGTAAATAAACTGTATGAATAAATTAGGACTTGTCTGTAGATTTCAAAAAGGCTTTTAATTAAGTCATGCCTACCACTGAAAGAAATTGGGATGATTTTCAATGGTGCTGCCAAGAAAGAAAACTGTCCTTCACTACAACGCATGTCTGCTGGTACGGGTTGAGTGTCCATAGCTTTGACCTAGTATGGCAATTTCTAGGGTCTCAGCGCTGGATGCACTGTTTACAAGAAACTGAGGCCCGACTAATGAAGAACAAAGAAAAATGTCTGGCACCAAAGGTTGTGGGGGTTCTCCTACATTAAAGATTTGAAGAGGTATACTCAGATTTTAGAAGACAATGAAAAAAAATCACTCTTTTTTGCTTATATGCTAAGAATCTTTTTGTGTGTTTTCGGGCAATTCCCTAATTAGAAAATACGTTATAATTTATACACATCAACTTATGTTCTCCCACATTTTGCTGACCACTAAGACTGGGTACAATTTCCTGGAGCTGTAGCAGTCACAGGGACTGGGAATACTGTGAGCACAAGCGCGTGCAGATGCAACATCAGCTCCCAGCCCTGCGAGCTGGTTTCCATCTCCATGGAGAGGGCCCCCAGGAGAGAGCCCCTCTGAGCAGGGAGTGAGACCCCCGAGGCGGCCCCTTTACCTTTGTTTCAGGTACTTCCGAGCCTAGCCTAGCGGGGCCAGGGACCCCGCCCGCGGCCCCAAGCTGGTGACACATCCTTCTTTGGCCAAGTCGGGCCAAGGTTGGGCAAGGGGTGGGGAAGGAAAATAACGCCTCAGCGCTCAACGACGTGACTCTCAGTTCTTCCAAAACGTTGGCATTTGTTTCTCTGCCAAGCTTCCCTGTTAACAAGTTCCCGGGGACGGTGCATGCGAACCAGCTTTGGGGCCCCGAAAAGTGGGAGGAACCAGGCCGTCCTCCGCCTTCCTCCGGCCTGGGCGCCCCCGGGGCGGGCGGTT